GAATCAAGCTCAAGACGCCGATAGTTTAGGTAATTTCTTTTTACAGTGAAAATAATGGTATTTTAAAAAAAAGTAAATAACATAAGCACTGCTTTATAGTTAGTTCAGTTAGTATGCAAAGTTTCATGATCTTATTTAAAGTATTTTATGAATAACAGCGGTTTATTGTTTATTTTGGAGGTAACTTTGGATTTTTTACTATCGAGAAAATTTTACGAAATCGTGTTTTCGTCTAACATAATCATTAACATTAATCCTCAACTTTACCATATATTTATTTCAAAATTAATGCTGCAATATTTTCGGCATAACGAAGGATCTTGCTAAGCCATTTGACATTATAATTCCCCTTAAGAGTCCTTTACTGAGGGTGCGTTTTACATTCATAAATTAACAAACACCAAGACCTGGCTGGAATAGGGACCTGGAATAGGTTTTCACTTTAAAAAAATATGTGTAAAAATAATAAATTAAAGCTAAATAAAATCCATAAATGCCTATAGTTGCTTTCCATTCTTATTTTTTAAAATATTGATCTTGAACCAAATAGCAGTGCTTGCTCCGATATGTTCCGGTGTGAAGGGTATAGAGAGCCCGTATAATTATATCTATAGGCTATTAAGCATTCCAAATTAGTACCCAAATAAGACAACGCATATATAAGTTTCTTTGTTCTTTGAAAATGACTTAAGGTTTCCTTGAACTTTAGGCTAATGGCTATACCATTCGCGAGGGAACACAGTCAGCGTTCGTGGCACAATACCACGGGGAGTAGTAGTACTGAATGATAACTCAAGTTATAATTTTTTTTTCAATATAGTTTTAAATATCTCTAAATAAAAATCAATTGCTTCCTGTTAGTATCGCTGAAACTAAAACACAGCTCGACCGAAATTGATGATTTTTTTCTGTGTTTTTAAAAGGCTATATGGTCGCTTGGACCCGATAAGTTGCGCCATTATCGAGTTACAGAAATCACCCGTTCGAAATCAGAGCGAATCGCTAGTATTGTTTATGTATATATATATATATATATATATATATATATATATATATATATATATATATATATATAACTTATATATACTTGTGTGAACTTATATATATATATATATATATATATATATATATATATATATATATATAAATATTGGGTATAAATATAGATTGTAAATTGTAGTTTGATCAGTGTGTGAATGAATTTAAATAATTCATTCAAACATGTTATGTATATGTATCAAATATATGCTTGGAAAAGTTGTGGATACATCCGCCGTAACGGCATCATACCAAGTTTATGTTATATCGACGCTTAGATATGCTATTATGTTCTGGGGTAATTGTGCGGACAGTGAAACAGTATTTAAAGATCACAAGAAATGCTTACGAAAATTAACCAGAGTGAGAGTTGTAAGCCATACCTCATTAGCTTAAGATTATTAACAATGCCATGTCTTCATTTCATATTGTTTAACTAGTTTATGAGAAAATACTCTCACATTATAGACCATAACATTGAATTTTTGTTTTAGTGTAAGAAACAAATATGAAGTGAAAAATGCCCCGAAGAGTGCATATATCCAAAAGAAAAAGTGAATTTCACAGACAGCCCAAGTTCATCAAAAGAAATTGATTTTCACCTTGATGCAAATGCAAGAGATGATTTAGATAATATCAAGTCATCTTCAGGAAGCAACATTGACGCTACAGAATTAATTAACACAAACGAAGAAGATGCTGAAAATAATAGTAGCAGTACTATTATTGCTACCAATGAACCATTTCCTCAATTGAATGGAGTATTCCTGTTCCTTACAATGTTCGCATTGAAATAATAAAAAAATGAAGTAAATATTTCCAAAACAAAGAAGGACCATTTGCCACTGTTTCTAGACACGGAACCAAAATAAAAGGTGACGCTTGTCATCTCTCGATCTCGATTGGGTGTCGAGTTTATTGTAGAATGGGATTTTACAGAATGTCTTCCAAATCTTATGATTGCACTGAAATTGTTCATGACGGTTTGCGTGTCCGGAGTTTCATGTGAGAAGAGTTTCAGTAAATTAAAATTAATAAAAAAATATTTGCGGGCAACAATGATTGCGTCATTGTTGCCCGCAAATATTTTTTTAGCGCGGCTTAGCAATCTTGGTATATTAGCCATCGAACACGAGGCAATACAAAATATAAATTTCGATGAAGTTATTGCGGTTATCTAGAAAGAGAAATTTTTAACAATTCCTTTTCTGACTTAGTTATTATTATGTTTTGTTATTTTTTATTATTATAAATAATAAATTATCCATGTCCTTTATCATATAAAATTTATTGCTTTTTACTTTCGATGGGGTGACACCACCAACTTCCGCAGCGGGTGCCACCCAAAATAACGCCACTGTGTAATTATCAGAAATTACCAATTTAATTATTTAAAAAAATCTTTTATTTAATTATTAGTTTGCACACCGGAAGGTAGAATATGACTGTATTTTTGTTAAATTATAGAGACCTACTATTGTAACCCATATATTACAGACGAATAAATGAATTGGAATTTGAATACAATTTTTTATTCATTCATTCATCATAGACATTATATATCTAATTTTTGCCATAGTAGGGACGTCTGGCAGACGGGTTGGCAGCCGCAGTTTCTTTATTTTGAACTGTGTTTTCTATTTTGTGGAATTCCAGTTTTGGTTTCCCTCTATTGCCTCTTTCCATCCCACGCGATACTTTAATGTGTAAACATAAGAAAGCATTAGGTACTGATTTGCAAGCCATAGGATTTGAGTTCCGTTTAGAACTCCTTATGTACTAAAGGTATGGACGAATTTAGCCTCTACCTAATTCTGATATTATTTTTACAACCGCTTCTTACATTGTATATTAAACACTATTATTATCAAATAATCACAAACAATCGCTTCATAAATACTTTGTAATATTGTGTTGTGATAAGGCATCAGGTAAGGAGATAATTTTGTCAACAGTTACAAATATTAGCGAGGTCACGGATGAGGAAGTGAGTCTTATCGTCTACAATGCTTCTCTTTGTTGATAACGCTATCAAATATACCTATAAAAGTAAGGTAATCAAATATTTAATTTATTTAAAATTTCTTTTTCATTCTTTTCTTTATTATATATCAAAATAGCAACTTAATGCTGCTGGGTTTCATATGGTGAGTATAGAGAACCGGAGATCCATTTACTGGTAACGGGGCATACCATCTTAGTCTTTAGGAGTGACAACGCATCTGCTTTTTAATTCTTAGTCTAACAAACATTACTTTGGCAAGTTTAACCAACTTTTACAACCGACTTCCAAACGAAGGAAGGATTTTGATGATTCTTTTTTTAATCTGAAAGTTGGTACTTCTCGTGTCCCATATAAAGGAGACGGGCGAATTTGGGCCTAACCGTTACACAAGTGAAATATTTATCAATATTTTTTTTACAGTTTTTTTGTAATTAATAATGAAATATTAAGCAGTTTTATCATGGGAAAAGAAATTAAATATTAAATAAAAATAATACTGACTTCCGTTATTTTCATTTTTAAACAATGATGGCGGGTGAAATAGGTTAATCGATTTTAATACATAAATAGAAAAAAGACAATAAAAAGTGATTCAGTGTTTTATTCTTTAGATAAAATTAAAAAACTTATTATTTAAATAAGGGTTTCCTCTTGACACTTCTATGTTTCAAAAATATCGTAATATTTGACTTGACTGAATAAGTTAATAAATCGATTTCACAATCGATTATCAATATTTAATACATGCCACTAAGCGGAAATCATGTCAATGTTAATTAATTAAAAAACTCAAACGTCAATCAAATCACTTACTTCGTTCGTTTGGCTGTGGGCTTACGGCGGTAGTGAATATTTTCTGTTGTTTTCATGTGCTGTAATAATATTGTGATCTTTAACGACTCTGGCTACTTGTAAAGGATTCTGACTGTTATTACTTTGACGAACCACCCACGCATTTCTTACAACAGACTTAGTTATCTTGGCTACTCGACTTATCTCAGCTTCATATAACGGATTTCGAATTAAAATAAAATGACTGATCAACATCATTGTATCAACTGCGCATAGCTACTTGGCGGTGTAATCCTTCTATAGGATTACATAAAATAGAAGACGAAAGCATTCTTTCAGTGATACAGCAATGGGTTGCACCTCAAGTGGTAAGTATAGTTTATTTTATTACAACTTCACATTTTGCTGGACCGTACTTCATTTTTATTCTTAAATCACTATATTAACTCTATGATTGAAAAAATACATTTAACACAAGATTTACTGGACGGTTTGATCGTCAATTAATGGCATTTATTTCATAAAGCTCTTTTAGTATAAATACTATATGACGCCACAAAATGTTAACGTAGTTCTTTTCATATTAATAACAGAGTTATAAAAAATTGAGCAATTTAATTAAGCAACAATAGGACAATTTACATTGTATTAAATATATAATCTTAATGTAATCTCAATACCGGCAAGAAATAATAAGAACAGATAGGATTCAGAAAGACACTCGGAAAATGAGTTCGACTGACATTGGTTTTTTAAACACTGTCCTCCTCTCACTGTTGTCTGTATCTAGCCAGTACTTTGTGCAACGAATAATTCTAGCTAAGTCTCACTTACTTCCATGTATCTATATTATTTCTTGCCGAGCACTATAAGTAACAAACTAATATTGTTGTAGGTCAACAGTTCTCATCGCATTTGCCAAGAATGCAGGACTTTAGTAATACATTCTTTGGACATAGATGAGCATCTTTCATGTGCAACAACTGGACATCGTCAAGTGTGTGTCAACTGTGGACGTTCAGTATTGCGTGCCAGATCTCATTTATTGCATACTGGCACTGAACGAGAAAGAAGGATTTATACAGTCATTTGGGAATGGCTTTTGCCTCGTACTGTAAGAGTTAATTGGGATCAGTTGCTTTTTATTTTTTATACTATAGTAGGTATGGTAATGCATAGAAGCCCGAAAGTCCGACAACCAGCCTTACCTAGGGGTACAAATGTAAAATACTGGTATTCAGTTGCATCTAGATAGACTAAACGTCAACCTTGGGGTCAAATTCCGTAGTTGGGGAAAGACTAGGCAGATGATAATGGCAATGTATAGTCAGTATTAATAAATACAAATGTTCACTTTGACCATGGTTACAATTTTTTATATATAACACAACATAACATCGTGCCTGTATTCCCCCAAGAGATAAGGCAGAGGAGTGCAGTACACCCGCATTTCGCCAGTTATATTCTTTCTCGGAGAAAGGTGTGTTATTATAAAGTTATTGTTTCAGATTTCAAGAAACAGAGCTCTCATATGTCACAGTTGCTGGGTGAGAGCTGATAGAAACGCCCATCATTTTGTATCAGCACCTTCTGGATCCTCAACATCAGTATATGAAACAAGTGAACAAGAGGAATTGACTTTGCAGTCTACTTCACAGGCTACTTTGCAGTCTACTTCACAGGATACTTTGCAGTCTACTTCAGAGGATACTTTGCAGTCTACTTCACAGGCTACTTTGCAGTCTACTTCACAGGATACTTTGCAGTCTACTTCACAGGATACTTTGCAGTCTACTTCACAGGATACTTTGCAGTCTACTTCACAGGCTACTTTGCAGTCTACTTCACAGGATACTTTGCAGTCTACTTCACAGGATACTTTGCAGTCTACTTCACAGGCTACTTTGCAGTCTACTTCACAGGATACTTTGCAGTGTACTTCACAGGATACTTTGCAGTCTACTTCACAGGCTACTTTGCAGTCTACTTCACAGGATACTTTGCAGTCTACTACAGGATCTTTACTTCACAGGACCTACTTTGCAGTCTACTTCACAGGATACTTTGCAGTCTACTTCACAGGCTACTTTGCAGTCTACTTCACAGGATACTTTGCAGTCTACTTCACAGGATACTTTGCAGTCTACTACACAGGCTACTTTGCAGTCTACTTCACAGGATACTTTGCAGTCTACTTCACAGGATACTTTGCAGTCTACTTCACAGGCTACTTCAGAAGCTACACCCAGTCTGAGTGAAGCTATAGTGTTACCTGACTATGTAAGAGCAGTAGAAACTGAATCTCGCTGTTTTATTGAAGGTTGTCGGAGACAAGAGAGGAATAGAGTTCCTGTTACAACTAGGAAAATGCTGTTAGATGTCTATAACTTCTATATCCCTAAAAACAATAGATTATGCCACCACCACATTAATACGCAATCTTGGGATTTTCTCACTGGAGCTTTAGAAAATTATGTTAATGTGTTTACAGCATTGCATATTCAAAACATGCTAGAATTAAAAAGTCACTCAAATGTTGGCCTGGATTTTATCAATATTCTTAATATGGAAGACCGTTTAGTGCACCATTGGTTAAGCTTTACGTAAGAGCAGTATCAAAGGATTTTAGATGAAGTGCCACAATTGCTGCAAAAGTCATCGGGCCCTATTGGGTTAACAGCATATTTGATAAAGCTGAGAACCGGTGATTCTAATGAGAGAATATCAGCTCTGTTTAACATTCCTAAAAGAACTCTTGATGGATATGTGTCTGAAGCTCGTCACTTACTATATAAATATTTTGTACCTAGGCATTTAGGACTTAACCATATAAATCGTCAGCAAATTGTTGACAGAACCTTGTTGATACCACGCAGTTTATTTGGATACTATAACGGGGAAAATAAACCTGTAATAATAATTGATGGAACGTATTGCTCTATAGAAAAAAGTTCAAATTATTTGTACCAAAAAAGAACTTATAGTTTGCATAAGTATAATAACTTGGTAAAGCCATTAATGATTGTATGTGCAGACGGTCATATTATTGATGTAATGGGCCCCTATCCAGCTACCACATCAGATGCAGATATCATTAATCGTGAGTTTCGTGATCCTAGTTCAATGCTACGTGAATACTTTCAGGCTGGTGATGCATTCATTTTAGATAGGGGCTTCAGAGATTCATTGCCGTTATTATATGAATGTGGTTATAGAACTTACGTCCCACTAACATTGCAGGCGAGTGAATGGCAGCATTCCACAATAGAGGCCAATAAATCGAGAACAGTCACCATATGCAGATGGGTTGTTGAAGTAGTTAACGGACGATTTAAAAGAGATTTTAAATTATTTAGACGAGACTATTTTAATACTGCTTCGAATCATTTAATGATAGATTTTGAGGTGGCTGCCGCTCTAATAAATGCTTTTCACCCTCCTATTACAAATTGTGTTGAGGCTGGATTTTACAAATAATCAATGAGAACATGAACAAAGAAAACGGTTTAGGCTGTTACGTGATTGAAAATAATATAAACCGACGTAGAGCAGATTTTACAAGAATTCATGTGCAAAATGATGACTTAAATGACTTTTCCCAGCTCACACATAGTGATTTAATAAAGATATCTTTGGGTATTTATCAAATTAAGCAGGCTAGGTCCTACTATGGGGAACACATACGACAAGATGGGAGATGGACAGCAACCTACTAAGAGAACTGTCAATATTCAATCCTTCTAGCTGGCTATTAAGAGGTCGAATAAAATCAAGACATGTAGGCTCAAAAATATATTTTACATATATTTTAGTTGACAGTTCTCTTAATAGTAGAGAGGCCATCAAGCAATATTATTGTAATTGCTTCGTAGGAAATATAACTGTAGGTTGCTGTTGTCATGTAATGTCCATAATATGGTACCTAAGCTGGGCAAGGCATCAAGTGAATTTAATACCGCCTGCACCGTTTTTAGACGATATTTTAATTGTTTTTGATGAAGTGGACGATGAATAAATCATTGAAAGCGAACGTGTTTTTAATTCATACTCCCTCAGCTTTTTTATAATTATTTCAAGCCTCTAGAATTTAATCGGACGGGGTCTGAATCCTCCTGATATTATGGTAAAGTCTAGTTTACAATTAAGTATAATAATTAATTTCGTAATTTAATGAGAGAGCTTGATGTAAGAATAAAATTGTAAGCATAACACAAGCAACAACATTATTCATATACAAACAAATAACATCCTATATTTTTATACCATGAAGCAGTCGTAAATATTTTAGTTTTTTTTAAATGGTATTAGTAGATAAATAAAATAATGCAGTAATCGATACTGTAACATCAGGCCCAGCTTTCTATGAACTTTCGCCCGTCTCCTTTGATCAAGATCTGACCAGTAGTTTTTGAGTTACTATATTTAATTTAATACATGGGTGATATTCTCATTATATTTATATTGAAGTCGGTTGTACAATTTTTTTTATTTTACTTTTTGTTAAAGAGTAAGTAACAAACGAGCACACAGTCTACCGTGACTAATAAGTTTATATTGGTCTAGTAAATTTGTTACATTAAGAATTAAAATGCAGATGCGTTGTCACCCCTGAGGACTTAGATGGTATGCCACATTACCAGTATCCACCCAACTAGATGAGTTGCGGCAGATTGTGTGCTTGTTTGACAGTTTTATTCTATAACAAAAATAAAATAAAAACATTTTGTGCGCGCTCAAGCGATATTTGTTAGATTCGATCAATAAGAATATTAGTAGAAGGAATTTCAGTTCTTCCAGCACATTTATTTATCATTCAGTTATGGTCATAGAAATATTAAAAACAGGATAAGTGGCAAGGGGGCGTGTCTGTGTCCACGCGCTATGATCAAAATTCTCAGCTTCTATACAAATGGCCGTCTCTGCGAATTAGTGCGCTTGCGACCGTCATTGTAAAATATTATCAGAATGCTATGTTGTTCAAAGGTTTCTTGTAAAAACCGAAGCCAAAACAAAAACTTTGTTAATCATGGAATCACATACCATACCTAATTACAAGTATTTCATTATACTTATCTTTAAAATCATATTAAAAAACAAATCGTAAAATATTTCTTTCTCTTACTACGTTATTTTTGTTTCCAAATATCACAGCCACTGTAATATTTTTGCAGTTAATACATAGCTCCATAACCACTACATAAGTGTGACGCCAAGTGACTCAACAAGCAATGTAAATGTCACAAAACAATACTTTATTTATGGGCATATATTGCGTAGTACGGCCGCTGTATCTTGTGACGAGCTAGTAAGGTGCGTGTGCAGATCCACTATCGACAATAATGTGGATAGGCGAATTGCTATTATAGTTTTTTCTCCAATTTGTCAACCGTTTCAATCCCATAGGAAGACCGATGTGACATAATGTGTTTTTTACTTATTTTGATTATTTTACAGCAGCTACTACGCTGAATGCGTAACCAAAGGTCGTAAAGTAAGTTGATTAAATTTTAGGTTAATAATCGATGGAGTGTTCTTATGTTTGAATTATCGTATATTATGCCTTATCTTCGAAAAATTTTCATAATTTTTATGGTTTTGGGGTTTAATAAAATTCAAAAGATTCGAATGTATCATAAATACCTAACCGGCATGGTTATATAGTGACTTTGTGAAAATTATTCAATATAATTATACTTGCTATTTATTTGTTAGACATGAGTGTGTATTTGTTTTCATATATTTAACAATATTATCACTAAACAGGAGTTTTTATAACAAAAGACCAGCAAGCAAAACCTGCTTAGTACATGGTGACGTTAAAAAGTAGCTTAGGATATATGAAAATAATAAATAGGTTATTATAATTGATAAAATCAGGTGTTACTTTGCGAAAATCCATTATAATAAAAAATAAAAATATAAATTTCTTCGCAACCTTCCATTAAATAAATACAATGATGTGTCTTACCTGGATTGAAGAGCACCTCCCGCCCTCCCTCAATTGCATGCACTAACTCCATCACCACTAGTCCCAGCACCACTACTCCCAACACCACTCTTCAATCCAGGTAAGACACATCATTGTATTTATTTAGCGGAAGGTTGCGAAGAAATTTTTTATTCTTATTTTTTATTAAATAAGTTATTAATCGTACCTTTCGGCTTGCCAAATGATGCTAATTTAAAAAAGGAATGGATTGATACCACTGAAAGGCCACCTGAATTCATTCCCTAAAAAAACTAATACTGGTCGTCGTAATTTGTCTGCGAATTAAAATAATATAAATAAGCAAAACTAAAAATGTCAAACAGGAACTCATGCCAAAGGTTTTGTCGAATTTAATTTTTTTTAATGTTAAGTTTCACCAATTTGAGCAGTACCCGATGAATAATCACATTATATTTCTTATAAAAGCATTCATGGAAAAATACATTATTAAAATTAACTTAGTCCAAAGTAATCAAAATAATATTAAAATATGGCATGAAAGACTGGGACATCTTAACCTAAAACAAATCAAGAATATGAGTGCTAACAATGTTATAGAAGGTTGGTTTGACACTAAGTGACAGTGATCAAACTGACTTTGTGTGTGAAGCATGTGCATATGGGAAACAATGCAGATTTCCATTTCACAAGTCTGTACGTGGAGAACTACAGCCAGGTGACCTGGTGTATAGTGACATCTGTGGCCCTATGAGTCATATATCTGTTCAAGGTATGAGATATTTTGTTCTATTCAAAGACGCTGCTACAAGTTACAGACATGTATATTTTATCAAACAGAAAAGTGATGTGATGGAAGTATTTAAGAAATACAATGCTATGATAAAAACTAAGTATATGTACAGTGTAAGGATATTGCATACTGATAATGGAAGGTAGTATGTCAACAAATCTTTCGAGGACTACCTGAACAAAGAAGGTATAGTACATGACGGCTATGGTGAGGATGTGATGGAAGTATAGAAATCAATGCTATGATAAAAAATAGTAATGGTGGGATGGGGGGTTCGGTAGAGAAGGTATAGTACTGAACGTACTGCACCCTATGCGCCTGAACAAAATGGACGTGTAGAGAGAGAAAACCACACGATTGTGGAAAGTGCACGCTCAATGTTGTATGCTAAGGATGTACCACTGGACCTATGGGCAGAGGCCATCAATTGTGCAGTATACTTACTAAACAGGACTTCCTCCAGCCAGACTCCTCAGAAAACACCATTTGAACTATGGAATGGCATCAAACCTCATTTA